TATTTTTTCAAATAATTTCTTTTCACTATTTTCTGTGAGATAATGCTTTGTTTGGACCTTTGGAAATACTTTTGCAAAATACGATCAGTTGATACATAGTAATACTTGTTTTATTGAAGGAGAAAAAACACTTAACATTATCCAACAAACAAAACTAACAAGGCAAACGTTTTTAAGAAAACTTTACAAATAAAAGTAATTTTTCGCCACATTCGGTACACAAGAAGCTGGAGTGAAGATCGATTTACGCACATGTGCCCAAATGTATATGTGACAAATTGAACGTATCAATGTCATTATATTTTTTTAAAGGATTTTCATTCAAAAGTAACCGACATGCTTTTTTAATAAATTAGGTAGGTTTATCAACAACTATTGATCATAATTTAAAATTTACTTACAATTAGTAAATTACAACTTTGTTACGAGTTCAGTCCCAAAGTCGTTCTAATGGTCTATTTTTCCGAGCTCGCCGATGTTGCCACAAGCAAAACACGATTTTTTTAAATCGCGCAAAATTCATGCAAAATATGAGACTTATACAAACACGATACCGTGAAAGCAGCACTTGAATTTTCAAGACTCATTGTTTCAGTTGTATTTATATGCTTACAAAAGTACGCTTTTGAAAAATTACAAACGTTAAAACGAGACAATTTTAAAAATGACATTGACATCAGATTTAAAATATGAAGTTGATGGCTTTTATTTTTGGCTGTTCTCATGTTTATTATAACTTATGGTTCGTGTTATGTTTTTCATTCGAATAAAAAAGTTGTTCGATACGAGGGCAAAAACCCGTTTTTCGAACCCCTGACGGATTGACGTCAAACAAGTCCTCGTTCGAAAAACGACACTTTTGTATCGAAAACTACTATTTTGATAGTAATTCGGATATAGCCTGCCATTATTAGTGAACGGGTACTAAACATGGTCTTCCATATCTCTTCAATACTTGGAAAAAACGATTGCATTGCTGTAGACCAATAGAGTCACCAACTTCAAATTTCTAGTCTATCAGATAAATTTGTGGAAGAGTTTACCGTTAAAAAATCATCCAATCATCACTAAATACTTTAGAAACAAGTTTTTGCAATACTAAAGTATTTTCGGGATATTTATTGTAACATGCAAAATGCTTAAATCACCAATTACAAACAAAATAAAAGCGGGTAACCCCACGAGGCATACTAATACCAGATATGTATTGATGTATCACATTGCTTAGTGGTTCACGGATGCTTCACAGCAAATATATCGTTTTATTCTTAAATCGTAAATTTGAAATGTATTTCTCTTAAATAATCTATACGGTTGGAACCTTCGACACTGACGATAAATCACTAACGTTTTACCACCATGTGTTTCGCCAAAGTGGTAAAACGTTAGTGATTTATTCCTAATAAAGCCAAGTACAAGTCGTATGGCTAATAACAAACCGTGTCAGCTGTTTGAAAATCTTACAGGATTTAAAAAAAGTAAAATATACGCACCTTGATGGTTTCCTTATACTTAGTGTGTATCTCCTCATTTGTCGATACAGCCAGGTTTACTTTTTTCTGAGCAGCCTTGGGTGATATATAAGACATTCCAATAATAGAATTCAGCTTCTTATTCTGATTTATTTCACTTTGCAAGTTCTTCCGCAGCTGATTAGTCTCCACCAGCAATGTTGCATTTTCATCCACAAGTCGCAATTTATCGAAGCTAAGCGTGCTAGTGTTTTTAGTAGCCTAAAAGAATCCTTGGGTAAGTTAAATATTAGATGCTTAATGTTATAACTGCCGTTTGAGAATTTTGGTAAACGGTGTATTTCAACTCAATGGGTGATAATCAATATCTCAGAAACTCTTAGCTTTAAGTAAGGTAAACCTTAATATATTTATTTTGATCGTAGACACTAATAACATAATAAAATACATTGTATTCTATTAAATAATGCAAGTCCGGGTTGAATCTATTAATTGGGACACATTGTACATTACCATCGACGGTCTTCTATTTATACTAAAAATGATACTTGCTATGCTAATTTTCAATAAGATGTAGATGGTTTTTAACACACAAAATTTCTAATATACAAATTTCCAAGTCTAGTACTTTTGCTCTGAAAATGGTTTCGAAGTCTTGCTGTTATTATAAAACTTGTTGTTGAAAAACAAGTGTCAAATTACTACTTAAGTCGTAGTTTTAGCCACCAGGAAACGTATGGACTTTTGAACTCGCGAATGATGTCAAATGCAAATACTGTGCAAGCTCTCAAATTAACATGGTATTGGTTCCTTCTCCTGCCGAATTTCAAAGTTTTCTGTCTACCTGAAGACAACGGAGAAATTTTTGATTTATCAACACCATAAAATGCGAATTTTCATCGTTTAAGCCGGACAACTGAAAAACTTTTTTCGGCCAACAAACGTTTTATTTCCCAACATAATTTCATTTCAGCTTTTAGCATTTTTTTTTAGTACACTTAGTCCAGCGTCTTTCCAATATTTGTATTCCTTCCGAATAATATAATTTCTGTCCTTTAATGTCCTCAAAATATGTGATTGTTTCAATGATGACCTCTTCATTGAACCTAAATCTCTTACCGCCCTGCCATATCTACAGGGTTAGAAACAGGAAATAGTCGCAGTGGCCTAAATCTGGAGAATATGCTGAGTGGGGTGGCGGTTCGTAGTCCTAATTCGTCGAGTTTTGCCATGACGACTACACACGTGCATTGTCCTGATGAAACAGCACTTTTTTTTCGCCAAATGCGGCCGTTTTAGCTTCAAGAGTCAACATCGAATTTGAACGGTTTTACCCCTTTAACCGTAACCGATGTGAATAACACCGCGTGCATATAAAAAAACTATGGCCATCTCCTTGTTGACCGAAAGACCCATTTTGGTCTTTTTTGGTGCACGTGCACCTGAACAAACCCAATGTTTTGATTCTTATTTGGTCTCTCATGTGCTGTGATGGACTCACGTTTCGTCAACGGTTACAAAACGTCGCAAGAACTCGTTCGGATTGCGACGGAATATCGCTAAACATTAATTTGAAATGGCTACCCGGAAGCGCTTGTGGTCTAGTGTCAGCTAGTATCTAGTTTAAAGTTTCATGTTTTCTACTACAAAAATGTAGTGAAATTTACATAAGGAACTGTACCATTAGAACAAAGTCGTGTTCTGCGCTGCAACTTTTCCAACGCCCTCTGCTGTATAATAATAAATATTTTAAAATATGCGCGTTTAGTATCTACCATTACAATATAACGATATACAGGGTGGGCCAACGAAAAGGTCGCACTCCTATTGTTGATTCTCCTGGCAGATCTACAAAAAAATGTTCGTCACTTTGACACGTCAACTTTGATTTTTAAGGGGACATCTTGCTAACTATCACTGCATTATACAAGGTGTTTTATAAACAAGATGCTACATCACACTTTTGATTTTCAAATGGAAACCTACTAGTTTTATTTATAATAATAAATAA